AAGGCCACCGACTAACTGTTACTATCCAATATTTTAATTAGATCTTTGAAAAACAAATTACTTCAAACCTGTTATTTATTATATATTACTATAGCTAATGTAGTTTTAAAAAAGCATACTATTATATGTAAGAATTTTAATTGCTTTTAGTTTTCTTTTGTTTTTTTTTTTGGATGTCCCCCCTATTTTCTCCCCAATTTAGTCGTCTCCAATTCTACCTCTTACTTAGGACTCCCCCAATCACACGATACCAACAGCTCTAGGAGGGCAAAGGGTAGCACAGGCCTCCTCTGAGTCCTGTGTAGCGCCACCACATCTTTTTGATCTGCTCGGAGGAAATGCCAACCGCCAGTTGCCTCTAGCTTTTACTAACAAATATTGCTTGTTTTAACTTGTGTATTCATTAATCATTGTATGAGTTTCATCTACAACAGACCAAAATATTTCTGTTTTGTGTATTTGCTTTGTTCATTAATTATTTTTGTACTTTGAAAATGTTTATAATTGTGATGAACAATAAACACTGTAAATTGTAAATGTTTTTGCTTTTTATTATTTAGGCTTTCTGCACTGGTGAAAATGAATGTATGCAAAACAAAGCATTACAATCATAATATACCCACATAAGCTGGTGATGGAAGCGGTTAAAAGTTCCTATCAGTTCCGAAACCCATAGATGGGTTTAGAGACCCACATCTTGCTGAATGTTTAACATATTGTAGGATAAAATTGTGTTTTTAAAATCATTAGTAACAGTAGCAGTTTATCCAGTTTTGTATTTGTTTACTGTGGCAAAAATCCTCCAGTACTCATACTAATTATTACATACAGAATCAGAAAATGTGGCTGTTTATCAGGTTACATTGAGAACCAGTCCCTCTCATGCACAGTTGGCTTGATCTCATACATGTACGTATGTTATAAAGGCACACTGAATGGTTTGACACCTATACTTTAGGGACATACATGACTGTTTTTATTTCATAGACCTTAAGTATAATTATACTTAAGTATCATTTTCAGACTTTTTTGTTATCTCTGATTCAAAATAAAATCTCTAAAAAGTGCTTCAAGGAAGATGTTAGAGGCCTCTGCTCTCCATTCAAAATTTTTTTGTCAGCCATGGTTTAAAATTTGTGCAGAAATATTGTAAAAAATGTAGGAATGTGGAAAACATAGTACTCTTTGACTCAAGGCAGACGGTGTGCAGGAAAGACAGCTGTGTATGTCCTTGAAGATCTACACACTGCAGACAATGACCTACAACAGAGATGAAGCCTTTTTTCCTTCATTCATTGACTGTTTTTATTTAATCCATTAATCCATTATTATTGCATTTATTCCATTATTCAAAATGGAGCTTTCATTCTGAAATGTATTGATTATTAAGAAGAAACATTACTAATATTTGCATGTTCTGCAGTAAATGAGTGTGGCATCCTGCAGGGCCACATCTGGGCTGGAGACTAAGGTGGGTACTCAGCCATAACTGTGTGCCATATATGAGCCAGATCTGGACCACACCTTTTAAATATGCTCACTTTACAGTGTGTGGGCCAGATCTGGACCACAGCCATTAAATTTACACACTTTACAGTAGTGCTGCAACAAATGACTATTTTGATAGTCAAATAATTTACCGATTATTGAAATGGAAAATCGATTATTTGGATTGTGAATAATTTGATTACTGAATAAACCTTTTGTAGCTATCAGCCTGTAGCGTGAGGTTGTTTTATGCATTTGCTAACTAACAATGGAGACCATAAAGGTGAACACCTTATTTTAAAAAATTCACTGTTGAATGAACTTTCCTCCTAATTCAAAAGATAAATAAAACAACAGCTTTTTCCTGTCAAAATTTAAAATCAAGAATGTGCAAAGTAGCAACAATAAAATATAACAAAACTAAATCATTTCCCTTAGTCACACTAACAGGTTCTCTATGCTTCACCAACCACACAGCCATATCTACACACAAACATGAGTCTGGATCACGGCGTTCTCTCCATTATACGATCTTATTCCACTTTCTGAGTTCAATATTCTTGGAATAATATAATTTGAGCAGTACTTTTCATGAACTGCCGCTCTGTAATGATACTGAAGGCACTCTAGCAGTGAAGGTGACCACCCCAAAATGGCGACGCTCTTGACGTGCCTGGCTGAACCAAACATGGCATCTATGTATGTATATCTATGAGCAACACTCATAGAGCAACACCTGCCTGTGGCGAATGTTTGTTGCAAACTTTTCATTTCAACGGTAACCCTTGACCCAACTCCCCTGTATGTATGTCTGTATGTTCACAGAGAACTACCTCATAAAACTGAGAGTGATGGCAAACATTCACAGAGAACTCAAGGTGAACAGAAAGCTGTTTGGAAATGTTCTCCTGTGCTTGCCAAATTTGAACGCACTGCTGGCCTTGATGTTAAGACAACGATGCAATGTTTAAAACTGTAATCGTTGTTTGGAAAGTGAACAGGGTCTTTCTGAATAATAGTTTCTTGCTTCTCCGTTCCAACTTCATTAACGATTCCAGAGAACATGCATTTCTAAATAGATGATTTTACAGCCCAAAACATGAAATAAGACAGCTTTTAACATTAGCTAACTAGCTAGCTAGCACAACTATCTTACAGAGATGTATATTCTTTATCCAGTGAGACAACATGTTTTTTCTTCAGATTCTCCAACATGAAGGATGTGCTCCCATTCCAGCTAAGGTCAGTTAAGTGTGAAATGCTCCCACATGTTTTGTTCTTGAGGCTGCCATCCTGCTTTTGTTAACTTTCCTGTAAGCTGTAATGTCAAAACGTTCCTAGTTAGCACGAGAAACACGCATGATGACGTCACCAACTAGTATTAAATTAGGTGCCAACTAATTTGGTTGTCGATTTTAGTTGACTAAGTCAAATAATCATTGGACCCCTAGTTTATAATATATGGGCCAGAGCTGGGCCAGATCCCTTACTTCTACTCACTTTAGAGTATACGAGCCAGATCTGGGCCACATCTGTTAGTTCTACTCATGTTACAGTATATCGGCCAAAGCTGGACCACATTTGTTACCTGTATTCATTTCACATTGCTTCTGAAAAACTTTGAGAGGCTTTAAAACGCATTTGCTGAGTAATCCTTGGTTTGTTTAATGTACCAACAGTTTTCAGTCGGATGTTTACTCGAATTCAGTCCTGTAGCTAGTTTGTTAATATTGGACTCTACAGCCTAAATCAGGTTATCAGGGGGTCATCAGTAATATTAGGCTGAGTCTGTACTGAATTAACCTGAGTGCAGGTACGTTTGCAGAGCTTTTCAAATCAAGCTATGTACAGAATGGAAAGATGTGTTGTGTTTCACTGAGTATCAGATGAAGAACAGTAAACTCCAGAGGAACCTGTTTCTTTTGTTTTGGCTTCTTTTCATCTGCCCTCATTCTGTACATGGAAATGTGCTACTATACTGGCAAAGTGTGCTGGTTTGCATGGTTTTAAAGGAGGCTGCCAGTTTAATGACATCAATTCAGTGCACAGTAGCATTAGCTTACATGTAGCAATATTCACATTTCGACTCTTTAACGATCTCGTAATATTCATATGACAAAACGTATCAGCTTTGGAACATTTCTGATTATCACAGGATGCAACAGAGGCAGCTTTCAAATACTACATTCATTCTTCTCATAGAGAAATTCCTTTAGACCCGGAGTTCCTTACATGGGCATAAGCAGCATGACACCGACTAATGAGCATTATGAGAGAATTGTTATTTTTTTCTCTTGGGCTCCCCCTACAGTTTTGGAGTGTATTTCACTTTTACACCACTGTCGTGAATACGAATCGTGCTTTGAGCCCCCCTCATGGACAGCTGTACATGTGCATTTGTTGACGAGCTGAAGGATAAAGAATCTGACTCCTCTTCGTGTGCATGCGGACCACCCTCATGACTTCGGCTGTTTCTATTTGAGCACGGCTGGATGTAGCAGTGACACCGATGAGCCAGTGCCAACGAGGGCAGTGAGCTGCTTCCTGTCCCGTCATTTCACAGTGTTCCTAGTCTTAAATTGCTCCTGTACCAATTTTTTTAGAAACCTGTGGTTTCAGTTTCAGAATGTTTATAAACAATAATGAAGCTAATAAGATAAAACATCACACATCTTGTATTTTTACTGTAATTTTCAAATATAGATTAAAGTGCATTAATAATTCACTGCTTTCCGCTATTATTTGCATTTTACCTACTGTACTAACTTTTTTGGAATAAGGCTTGTAGTATGTAAGTCAAACTAAATCAGTGCTTAATAAAATCTACAGAGAGACAGATGTACTGTGTCCTTAGAGCCCCTTGGCTTAGCCTCCTATCCACAAATCTCTAGTGATGCTCCTGTGTGGAGCCCATTTCACACATTTCAGCCTAACTGCACTGTTGTGTGAAGTTCTGTCATTTTAATAATATATTCTGTTTTCCCTGAGACTTTAACTTCTATTACCAGCACAAGTGATTTCAGTTAAAACATCATCTACATAGAAGAAACTTAAATATGGCATTTTTCAGCCAATTTTAGTGCACAATGTCTATTTACCTGCTGAGTTTAATATAGTGGAAAGAACAAAACATCAAATATAAAACGTGCCATCGACTTCTGCAAATATCATTTTTTACAGCTTCCTACAAATTAGCTGAAACATATGAAGATGTATAAATACATAGAGACACATGTGTATACATGGTCATTTGTTTATATGTATGATTTTCTGATATTTCATATATGTAAACAGTCAATTGTGTGTGCGTGACGTCATAGATCACGTGTATATATATATATATATATATATATATATATATATATATACGCGCATTTATGTGTGGGGGACACTGTGAGTGACGTCATTAGCACTTGTGACGTCAGTGTTTGTGACGTCACGTACCGTCGATGACGTCATAGGTGAGCCTATATAAGGGGGTGCAGACCTACAATACGCTCATTATTGCAATCATGCAACACGCGAACAACCAGTGCGAAGAGAAAGAGGCACAAAGTGCCTACACGGTCTCACGGCTGCAGAGCCTGAAGACGGAGTTCCAGAGGGAAAAAGAGGAGCTTCTGGATGCCTGTGACTCTGTGGAGGAGATCAGTGACTCCCTGCGGGAAGAGAACAGGGTGCTGAAGCAGAAGGTGAGACACCTGCAGGTGATCACGGAGGATCACGAGCAGCTGCTGAAAGAAACCCCGAGCTCGCACGAGGCTCTCCGGCAAGAGAAAGTCTCAGAGCTGGAGCTCAGGGCACAGAAGGAAGAAGTGGAGAAGGAGAACGAGCGCCTGGAGAATGAACGCGCCTCCCTCACTGACAGCCTGACTCAGTCCAAAGAAGACAGAGAGAGACATTTAGAAGAAATACATGATATAAACCGAAAGAGATCCGGGCTTCAGCGCCGCCTGGCGGAGAAAAGAGCGGCCATAAAAGAGGCAGAAGAGGAACTTTTGAAGAAGAACTCGCGCATTGACAAACTGAAGTCAATAGCAGAGAATTACGCCGCTCACATCCAGGCGGACCAGGAGAAAATAAAGGCTTTGGAGGAGCGCATTGCTGCCTCGGCTTCTGAGAGAACAGCGCCCTCTATCGCTGAGGAGATGGCACCACATGAGGTGGAGAAGATGAAGGAGAAGAAGCTGGAGGAGAAGACGAGGAAGAGACGTGGTTTGGCATGGAGAAACGTGTTGATCTGCGTGATGAGCTTTGCTCTGACGCTCCTGTTTCTCCTGTGCTCCGTCGTCTCCACCGTGCCAGCGTGCAGTGAGGCATCAGGCGTTCAGTGCAGCGAGCTCCTGCAGGATGCTGTGAGGTCTGTCATCGAGCCTTACTGCACTCTTACATTCACTGAACCTCCACCGATCTAAAGTTCAACACCAAATGACTCAATAAAAACATGCTTAAAGCTGATGAACTGTTTGAGTCTCATTTTTACACAAACAATATATATATATAATTCAGCTTGCATACAAATACAATTCAATTTATTCATATATAATACATATTACATATATTAAGTTATAGTATAGTATAGTATATGTTTGTATAGTGTGCACTTTGTGTACATATATATATATATATATATATATATATATATATATATATATATATATGATATATATATGTGTGTGTGTGTGTGTGTGTGTTTTTGTGCACATATAAAAATTATTATATAATACAAATTAACTGTGTTCGCGTGAAATGAACTGTTTTTGATTCTAATTTTTAAATCAAAACAATAGATAATCTAATTTAAACTGAATAATAGTATTAATGAATAATTAGATAAATAGGAGTTAATGGACTCTTTGTGCTTGGATATGTATTTTCAGGTAAATGAGTGCTTTTTGCTCAGTAATTAAATGCAATTCAATACAAATTTTACAAGTGCATTTAATTGCATTTACTCACTGCATGTGAATTTATTTATGACACGTAATGTGTATTTACTTAAGTGTTATAAGTTTGCATGTGTTATTAAATGCATATTTAGAATGAATGAACTGTTATTTTTTACTAAACCAGTCTAAATCCAAATTAGCCACAGAATTAAACTATGAACAAACAAGCAAACAAATAAATGAATAAATTCAATCATTAATTCAAGCTATATCTATAGACATATACTCATTTACAGAGGAAATGAAACAAACCCAACTATTTGATTCTGGACTTTTCAGTTAAATAAGTGCATTAAATCCATTTATTTCATTCTGCGTCACAGTTAAGATCTAAATTAAGCAGGACATCATAAGAAGCAGAACACTGTCCATTACATACAATCAAAGTTGAAGTGTAAATACACAAACATAAAATATAAAATATATATTTATAGCAATGCTATTGGAGATTACCTAACAAGATGAGTATGTGGAGATTTATGCCTGCAGTTTGCACAATGTTAATCAGTACAAAACTTCTACTACTTGTTATTTGCCTTCAAATAACTTAAGTACAAAACCAGTGAACAACATCAAGACACTCAACATTTCCTGGTCTGTTCAACTACATAGCTACATACAGCGATCATGCATAACATTATGACCACCTCCTTGTTTCTATGCTCATTGTCAATTTTATCAGCTCCACTTACTATATAGGTGCACTTCGTAGTTCTGCATACTTTGTTAGCCCCCTTTTACCCTGTTCTTCAGTGGTCAGGACCCTCATGGACCCTCATGGACCCTCACAGAGCAGGTATTTGGGTGGTGGATCATTCTCAGCACTGCAGTTACACTGACGTGGTAGTGGTGTGTTAGTGTGTTGTTGCGCTGGTCTGAGTGGATCAGACACAGCAGTGCTGCTGGAGTTTTTAAACACTGTCCAATCACTGTCCACTCTTTTAGATACTTCTACCTTATCAATCCACCTTGTAAATCTGAAGTCAGAGATGCTCATCTTCTGCTGCTCAGTTTGTGTTGGTCATCCTCTAGTCCTTCATCAGTGGTCATAGGACGCTGCCCACAGGACGCTGTTGGCTGGATATTTTTGGTTGGTGGACAATTCTTAGTCCAGCAGTGACACTGAGGTGTTTAAAAACTCCAGCAGCACAGCTGTGTCTGATCCACTTCCTTTTAACAACACGTAATAACCGTTTGGGTACTGCAGATACAAATTGATGTAGTTTTGAAAGCAGTAGGAAAATGTCTTCAGCCGTGCAACCATACAAGGCTTTTGTCATGTTTTGAGCTTAACAAGGCATGTTTTCTTTCTAATAGTTCTGGACTGCAGGCAGGCCAGTCTAGCCTTTGTGAATGCATTGACGGATGGTGTTTATTGACCATGGTTTTTCAAAGTATTCCTGAGCCAATGTCGTGATATCCATCACAGAAGCATGCTGGTTTTAATGCCACACCGTCTGAGGGGTTGAACATCACAGACATTTATTTGTGGTTTTTGGCCTCATCCTTTATGTACAGAAATTTCTCCAGATTCCCTGAATCTTTTGATGATATTATGCACTGTAAAGGGTGACACTTCTAAAAATCCTTGCAATGCCTGGCTGAGGAATATTACCTTTAAACTGTTGGAGTTTTTGCTGATGCATTTTTGGCAAAGTGGCGAGTCTTGACCCATTCTCACTCATGAAGGTCTTTTAGAATAAGTGAATATTTACTAAGAAATGATTAAGTTCAAAAGAATAAACATATGTTGTCTCTGTACTGTTGTTATTCAAATACAGGTCGAAGTGAATTCATAAAATACTGCTGTTTTTTTCCGCATTTTACCTACTGTACCACTTTTTATGTCTGAGGTCCTTTTATTATATTTGTATTGGTTTGTGTACCAAAAACTGTCAGATTTACAAGAGTGTATAATAATACAAAATAATTTCACCCATGATTCCTACTCTTACATCTACATCCTCCCCCAAATCAGTCTATCAACATCTGTTAATGTCTTCAAACATCTAGACATCTATAACATCTAGAAACATCTAGAAACATCAATTAACATTCATTAACAGTGATTTATTTTGATTTTAGAACATAGTTTCAATAAATAAAGAACATTAATTCATGTTTAACCCAAGTTGTTGCGAATAGATATGTAAATGTGTCAGATTTTGTGACATCACAAAAACAGTTAATTCACAATAGGCTGTTTTTAGCTTGTATATGGACCACATTGAACAGTATTATTGACTTTTATTAAGTGATTACCGCACAAGCTTGGTTATTTGAGCTATAAGAGTGTAGAAGTGAGTATAAAGCTAAAGATGGCAGCTGTTCCTGTCACTTTAAATGTGTCGGTTTGAGAAGAGTGTATAAGGCTTATGTATGGATTAACTGCATTATATGTTCCTTCAATAAAATTCACAAGACTGAGAAGGTACTTAAACATGTGAACTTAGTTTCACTCAAAAGTTTCACCAACTCAGTTAGGCTAAAACATTGATGTCAAAACCATACAGTGATGTTTCTGTAGAAATGAAAAGCTAAAAGTGACAGATTGAGCCAAAAAGATAAAGAAATCTGTGAGATTACATGACTGATTACATTTTTAGACATGTAACTTGTAGTCAGTGCCAGATTACATTCAAGTAATCTACCTAGTACTGCAAATGTGTATAAGAGCTGGAAGTGGAGGTGTTAGAAGAGGACTGGAAGGGTGACTGGGAGTCAAATCTATTAAAAGCACATTCAGCTTATTAGCCCTGTCCAGTTTCCCATCCACCAGCTGTTTGAAGCCAGTAATGGAGGTCATACTCCTCCACACATCCTTCACTTTATTTTGCTGCAGTGTTTGCTCCAGCTCGTTCCTCTGTCTGTCTTAATTGCTTCTTTTTTGCTTTATGACCTCTTAAAGGGGATTTTTACTTTTTTTATATATATATCTGCATTGTTAAATCATTAAAACGTAAACAGAGTTATTCAGAGTGGTTTGGTGTGAAATGCTCCAATCTGGAGTCAGAATTGTTCACAGTGGTGGTGACCAGACGTTAGGAGCGTCATGTCCATTCAAGGCAAATTTATCTTTTATTTTATTTTAGTTTCTTAGTATTATATTTCATAACATGCAGTTATGGTTATTTTTATGAGTCAAACACATGTTTTAATTATGTCTTACCTCAAAAAGTCACACACACCCCCTTTTCCTGTAGCATTGGTTTCCTCCAAAAGTTGAGGACTTCTTTAAGAAAAGCAGCAGCAGTGTAAGCCACACACTTAAAAATGATGGTTCTTCTAGAGTCTTTTAGTAAAGAAAATGGTTCTATATAGAACCATGAACACTCAAAGAACCATTTGCATGATTAAAGGGTTCTTTGCATCATGAAATGGTTCTTGATGAAGAATGTATTGTAGATGGTTCTATATAGAACCTTTTTGAAAAGGGTTCTGTATAGCACCAAAAAGGGATCTTCTATTAATACCAGCTTTACATTGTAACAGTAGAAGAACCATTTTTGGTGCTCTATAGAAAGCTTTCACAATGCAAATAACTCTGTAATAATGCAAAAGGGTTGAGTGTTCATGATATTAGAACCATTTTCTGCACTAAAGAGCCATTGGAGAACCATCATTTAAGATTGTAGTATAGAAGTGAGTAAATAATTGTCATTTTCAACTATAACAGTACACACACACACACACACACACACACACACACACACACACACACACGCACACACACACAAACACACACACACACACACACGCACACACACACACACACACACACACACGCACACACAAATATATATATGTACAGTAAGTGGAGATAACTGAGGTACAAAAAGTGGTTTAGTGAAGTTTTAAAACAATCCCCCCTAAAGTCTTTGAGTATATATGTCAAATTGCAGAAACTGCATCATTATTTTCTTTTTTTTTTCTGGGGAAGGACCCCCATGCCCCCTGCTCGAATTGTGCCTCCCCAGAATTTTGGCTTGCATGACGCCAGATGTCCACCTCTGAAAGCTCCCCCACAGAAATGTATTACATAAAACAATTACGACTACACTGCCTGAGGCCTGAGACATGGTCACAGTGGAGAGATTTACCACTTATTTACCATGATTAAATATAAAAAAACAAGAAGACGTGTAGGTTCACTGGTGGTTTTGGATAGTAAACATTTGTGTTGTAAACACCATGACCCCTGGTTCCTATCACCATCACTGAGAAGAAATCGGAGTTAGTAAATTTGTCCTCAACGAACCATTTCACACCAAACCTCTCCAAATGTCCGGAGTAGCTGCAAAGTTGTGCAGAGACTGCACCATGTGGAAGTGGCCACCAGGGGGTTCCCTCAGTCTGTACCCTGAAAAAATGATTCATGTCTCAAGTGATTGCACATAAATATAGCAAGTTACATTAATACAGCTGCTGTGCGAAAGCTTGTTTCTCTTGGCAAGAATTGTGTTAATGTAACACATTTTTATTGATGTATCCTCGACTGACACATTTGAA